CATGATTTCTCAGATATACATATATATGTCAAAATGTTTAAAATTGTGCAGTTTAAATACACGCAGCTTATGGAATGTCAATGATACCTCAATAATTCTATTAAAAATGACATTAAAAGTGCATTTTTACATTTGATTACACAGAATATATATGAGTAGTAGTAACTGTTGAATGTAACCTGCATGAGGAGAGTCAACATTCCATGAGCATCCATAGAATTAGCCCTCAGTGTTTGCATTTTCAGTGTACACTCATTACATGATCACATGTATTTATACAGGTAATGTTGATATCTACTCATATAAAGAAACTATCTTAACAAGCTTAAACGTGGTGTCAATCTTTCTGATATTTTAGTTAGGACAGAGTTTCCCTTAAATATACCAAGAAAGAAGACTCAAGTCCTGTAACTGAAGGAAGGTGTGTTGAAGTGTGCAAAGTCCTTGAAAAGGATGTGAGCCCAGAAAGGTAACAGGAAGAAGACAGCATCCATTTGGTCTCTCGGGGTGAGAGAACCAGCCAGAGCAAAGGTTGGCATCTCCCAGACTTGCTCCTTAAAGATTTGTGTGGCCCTGTAATCACATGAGAGTAAAAGAGTTTGACTAATGAGGAGCTTTGGATATTGCATCCCCGAGGGCTACAGAGACTTCAGATAGTCTGCCTGTGACCACTCGCTCAGTAGCCTGGCCCAGGTCGGTATGCAGCACACCTGACTTTAGTCTCCAGGGCTGTCATTTCTGCACAGGAGCTGGTCCCCACTGTCTTCCTGCGCTCCCTGATTAGAGACCTTCCGTTCTTCTCCTTTACACCCAGGAAGAACTGAACATCATTCCTTAGCATTGGCACACAGGTAATTTCAAGTCCTCTAGTTTATGCTTTGCAAATAGTGACAGGTCTTTGGCTATGTCCATTTCTGGAAGCCGTGAGGTGAGGAGATGCTGAAGATGAGCAGAACTAGGTCATCTGTGCGGTGTCTGCTTAATTTCCCATCTTCATCTTCACGTTTGGTTTATACCAGCACCTGAGCAACTCTCATTCTGACAAAATCTTACCGACCCTACAGCCCAGGGACGTCTTCCATTTCCAACAGAATCTACTCTTGCTCAATTTTGAAGGATGCTCTAGAATTCTCTGACATTTTCTTTAATTTATTTGGCAATGGGCAAAGAATTAGCCCTTAGTGTTTGCATTTTTTGTGTTTTGTATTTGACAGCTTCTTTTTACTTTTCCATTCCTGACTCATAATACAACTTTGTAGAGGAGATCTTTGGTTTTGACACTGTTTCCTGTTTATGAGTTTTCTGAGAGAGAGAAGGTAGAGAAAAAGACAGATCCCAAGACTACACTCCAGTCTACCCATTTCTCTTTATAATCTACGAAATATTTAAAATTGTAAAAGGCAGAACAGCACAGAATAATAGAACAATTAAGCATTGTTGAATTTGCTGAAGCCAGAATTAAACTCAGGTGTGTCTGAGTTGACACCGTGATTGACACTGTGATTGTCAACCGAGATTTACTATGTTTGGTTCTGGTTTTCTTGCTGGTTTGAGGCTTTGAAGATGCTCAAGG